AGTCCAAACTTAGAAATATTCAGAGAACTCTAATATGTCTCAAAGACAATAAATTTTCAAAATCAGCTCGTAAACCCCTGAATGATTTTAAAACCGAGTGAGCGAACTTTGAAAGATCAGATAATAAAGTTCAAGTTTTTATTCTGAGCCCAGTACTTAGAATATTTCGCTCAATATTTTTGTAGCTTGAAGAGAGTCGAGCCTCCACTTGCAACAAGATGTTTCAGCATTTGCATTCGCCAACATGTGGGTGGTCGGGACCCATGTACTGTGTATCTCATTGCTTTTAATTGCTTATACTGTCTGAGGTATTTGTGTTAGTAGATTGATGGATCTAGACGGATGAGTGATCCCATCTTTGTCAAGAACTCTAGTTAGGACTTAGTTGATTGGGCCCAATGTCAAGCCTAAGTCCAGACTTAGTTGAGTGGGCCCAATGTCCAGCCTGAGTCTCGCGTCCAGTTGAGTGGGCCCAATGTCCAGCTTAGATTTATGAGGGAGGGGACCCCCAGAGTGTGCACATGAGTACCGGTTTACCGTTAGTCCCACAATTAGTCGATTTATTTATGCATATGCCGATTTCATGATTTGTTATTAATTTGATGAATATTCAGGCCAGTTCCGGCGGAGCGCGTAGATTATTTATGCCCAAGCCCTCCACTAACCATTTTTCAGGTGATGGAGTCCCGCGTGGAGCGTGAGCCCAATGTGGTGGTGGTCATCAGCCATGATATTTTAAATGAACATGTCATATATTATACTTGAACATGTTTGGATTATCAAACTTGATGTTTGTTTTTAGTTTATTATATTTAAGATGTCTTAGACCTTATTTAGTTGCAAGTTTTATTATGACTCGAGAAATTATGAAACAAGATAGAAGTTTGAGAAGTGATTTCCTTGAGAACTCAACTGTGAGGCTTAAGTTAAGCTTTTAAAGAAAAAAAATATATATATATTTTTCAACAAGTTATGACAAAAAAATAGTTTTCAGTAGTTCCCGAAAAGAGTATTAAAGTTGAAAAGTTTTTGAGAAGCTCAAATTATTTCTGAAAACTTAGGGTATGTTTGCATGCAAGATTTTTTTAAAAAATTCCAACATTTTAACTCAACCACTTTTTTTTTTAATTCAGCTTTAACTCAACCTCGCTGTCATCAATATTATCAATATAGTTAAATAATATCAATCAATCATTCATACACACCACATCAACCTTAGTTTACTATTCATCCACTCACATTATTTTAACTATCATTTCAAATCATCTCTCTCCTACTTTTACATCAAATCAATTTTAATTATTTTATTTTAAAAATTATTTTAATATACTCACTAACAACTAACCATACCACATTTTTCAAAATTAACCAAACCAAACAAAAAAATACAACACCACCAAAAATTTTTATATCCAAACATGCTCTTAGCGTTTTCTAAATATAAGTAAGCGGGCGCTACAAGCATAGATTCAAGACATTTCACGACTACATAGTCGAGGTGGGGATTTGCTACGCGATTATTCTCTTTAATCGCATGATATTATTATTGTTTTATGTACATGTGGTCTTTGGGTGAATATATATATAGGTCGGACAGGCCAATCTACTAGTCTGCCTAGAGTCGCGTGTCAGCAAGATATAGACCTTCGTGTCCAAATCGATATAATTTCCAGTGTATAAGAGCCACTAGCCCGGGTAAACCATGATGGCTTGAAGCTGGACAGTTACAAATATGTTTTACGGCGTGTGTACAATGGTGGTGATGTCTTTTATTATCTTGAATAATTGCATTTTTCTTATCCACTAAGTTGTTCCATACTCATCCCACCATTAACATATTCAGGTCAAGGAGCTTGGTGGTGTGCTGGTAGTGTGACACAATTAATTGTTACATTTCATTCTCGCATTTACATATTATCAATTAAACAAATAATGTTTGGTATGCTTGGAAAGTGTTACGTTGATCATTTGATGAGAAGCTTATTTCTTACAAAGGTTTAGAATTGAGTTTTTTGTATAAAATCTTTTACAAAAGTGAATTTCTTAATTACAACATTATTTTATTCGTGAGATTTGGGGACTTAAATTTTCATAAGTCGATGCACCTGTTTGTGTTTGGCTTTGACCTGTTTCTAACTAAAAAAAAAATAAAGTGCTGATTTTTATTTATTTTTATGTGCTCAAATATTGTGTGATTCCGTTAACGCCCCTTTAAATGGCATATCTATCTTTTTTTAAATCGGGACGTTACATGAAACAAACACAAGACTAAGGCCAAGTGAAGGGCATAATCTTGGCTTGTCTAGGAAAGCAAACATGCACTAGATGTAGAAGCAATAAACATAATGCTCCAGTATAAGAGTGAAACCACTGGTAGTCCATAGCACAATGGCAGTTGTTTGGTTGAAGTGATGCATGGTGAAAAAATACATTAGATGTAGTGGAATTTTTTGTGCATAATTTTGTTTGATCTGATTTCAAAGACCACTTTATTTGATTTGAAAGACCATTTAGCGTGTTTCATCTGATTTCAAAGACCATTTTATTTGATTTGATTTGAAGTTTGAGGTGTAAGAGTATGTGACAGCAGGGTCATATGATCTAAAGAACGAGTTTGAGGAATAAAAAAGTTAGCTAGTATGAGAAAAAGAGAGCTGTATAGAAGAGTTGGTTCCAGGTATCGGGCAGTCCAGGCAGACACCAGTGGCTACAGTCAGCAGAGTGGTCGGGGTTAGCTCGTTGGCCAGGCGTCAAGTCTCCACTATAAATGGATGGGTGGGCGTCTTTCCTCATGGCCGATAGCAATGTTATGTCGAGCAACAAAGGAGGCTTGTTCATTGAACTTATCACCTTTTCCAATACCCTCATTTGATCGCTCCAATATGTAGCCTCCGGATAGCCGGACATGGGCATCGTCTCCCCATAACAGCTCTTGGATGTCGTCATTGTCCCTGCATTCCACTCGCTTGGGCTGCCCAATATTTATATAATTCATTTTTTTGGTTATTGATCATCATGATTTCAAATGTATATATTAATTGCAGTGTGTATACTTGATCAAGACTAAGATCATCATCTTTGTTGAACTAAAAAGGACTATCACTATTACTTTGTCTATCGGACTGCACATACTCAAATCTAACTTAAACTTAACTCAACCCACTACCATCAATATTATTAATATAATTAAATAATATTAATCAATCATTCATACACATCACATCAAATTTAATTTACTATTCATCAACTCACATAATTTTAACTAACCACACTTCACACCATCTATCTTCTACTTTTACACTAATTATCTTCAATTATTTTATTTTAGATATTATTTTCATATAAACTTAAAAGGACTATCATTATCTTTGTTGAACTAAAAAGGACTACCACTATAACTTTGTCCATCTGACTACACATATATTTAACAATAATAATTTCATACTCAAAATTTAAGTTGATTTTAACTCAACCTCGTTATATTCAATATTATCAATATAATTAAATAATATTAATTAATTATTCATACGCATCACATCAACTTCAATTCACTCACATAATTTTAACTAACCACCACTTCACATTATCCTTTTCATACTTTTATATCAAATCAACTTTAATTATTTTATTTTAAATAATATTTTAATATAAACTAAAATCTCACTAAAAACAAATCATACCATTTTTGTTTCAATAATAACTATTGTTAATAAAAAAGAAAAACTCATTTTGAAGAAATATATTTATATCCAACCAAAAGAAAAACTTTGCTTGTTTATAAAAAAATCAAAATTTAACTCAATTTTAATGTAATCACACTATCATCAATATTATCAATGCAATTAAATAACATCATTCAATTATTCTTACTTATCACTTCAACTTTAATACATTATTTATCGACTCATATATTTTCAATTATTTATTTTCTATTTTTACATCAAATTATTTTTTATTGTTTTATAATCATAATAATTTTTTTCAAGTAAACTATAATTAAAACCAATAACCAAAAAATAAATAAATCGGTTTTTTTACTAATTTTTATATAAAGAAGCTTTTACTCAAATTGTCATTTTCAATGCATCACTTAAATAAAAGTTTTTTTGTCCATGTGCATCAATTGAAGTGATCATGGGATACGAGAGCAATAAAAACTTTAAACTAAATATAAAGTTAATTGATGAGCTATGGTGAAATAGGTGTTGGATATAAGAAAATGGACGACAACATTCATTGGAAATGCACAACATTCAATGGAAAATATATTGGATATACTCTAACAAAGTGTGTCGGTGTGTAAATCTAATTTATTTGAGGAGCTCAGGAAAGCTGGAGGAGATAGAGATTGGGACACTTAGGACAAAATTCAAAAAGAGTTAAATGAAGCTAATGTTTCAGAGGAGATATATTGGAGGCAAAAAGCTAGAGCTCTTTGGTTTAGGGAAGGAGACGAAAACACCAAATTCTTCCATGCCTTTGTTTCTCAGAGAAGGAAGATGAACTCTATTAGTTAGACTAGTGACTGAAAAGAATAAAATCAGTGAAAATGCAGAGGAGATTGAAGCAGCCATCACAAATTACTACACCAAGCTTTTCACATCCCAGGGCTCCAAAGGGGGACATGAATTCCTTCCCTTAATCAAGCAGTCAATCAATGATGATATGAATGCCATCCTAACAGCACTCGTGGAAGATGATGATATCAAAGAAGCAGTTTTTAGTATCCACCCTGACAAAGCACCTAGAGAAGATGGCATGACTGGGCTCTTCTATCAGCACTTCTGGCCATCATTGGTAAAGACATCATTTTTGTTGTTAAAAGCTTTTTTGAAAAAAAAAATGCGTCATACCCCCTTGTATTATACTTTTGATTGCGCGTTATCCCCTAAACCGTCTAACTTGACGGATGTGGATTTCACGCGCGTGTGGTGCGGCTTTTTCTCCATTTTTTCACCATAAACTCAGGGAAATGACTATTTTGCCCCTTAATACCTGAATTAAATTCCACTCATCTTTCCTGGGCTGAGGGTCTTCAATCCATTTTCTTCCAAATTGCCTTTCTACAGTAATTGTGAAGAAGTCGGAGGATCATCAGAGCCAAGAAAAGCGTGCTATTTTTTGCCTGAATTTGGACTCGAACAACGGCGCCACCAAGAAAAGCGTGCTATTTTTGCCTGATTTATAAAAATAGGCTGAGAGTTCGGTGATGCTTTTTCAAAAAAATATAAAAAAATAAAAAAAAATAATAAAATAAAATCTAAGGATGTAGAATAGATGAGGGGACGGTGCGGTATTCGGTGAAACAGAAGGTAAAAAAAAAACTGGGAGACGGCCCCAGTTAGATTTGGAAGATTGATCCTTCTTGTCTTTTTGATTTGATTGACTGACTCCTCCACTACAGTTCGGTGATGCTTTTTCCACAAAAATAAAAAAAAAGTGTAAAGATGTAGAATAGATGAGGGGACGGTGCGGTGTTCGGTGAAATAGAAGGTAAAAAAAAAAAATCTGGGAGACGGAGTTCGGTGATGCTTTTTCCAAAAAAAAAAAAAGCGTGAAATTTTACCCTGGTGGCGCCGTCGTTCGAGTCCTTCCGGATGAAGAACGAAGGCAGGGGGACGGATCTAGGAGACGGCGACAGGGCGAACGCGGATCCGGCGTAGACGTCGGCCGGCGGCGGCGGCGACTGGATCTGCCTCTGATTCATAAGATCGTCGGAACGGCGCCAGATGGACTCCGAACCTGGGCCGTAAAATCTCCTGGGGCCGTAAAACCTCTGTCGCCATCTAAATCTTTGAAAGAAAAAGAGTGTTCAGATAGATTCCAACTGCAGAAAAATCGAGATTTATGAGCAAAATATGATTTTCAATTTCCACTGCTTTAGACTTACTGTAATTGTTTGTTTCTGAGGGCATAACGGGAAGTTAAGCAAAAAATTAACGGGGTTAACACGGAAACGAGGAGGGGGGAGCGTGCGCAATCAAAAGTATAATACAAGGGAGCATGGCGCATTTTTTAAAATACAAGGGGATAAGACGCAGATTTCGTATAATACAGGGGGGTTTGGCGCAATTTACCCCTGTATAGACCCATAAGCTTATGTGCAGTTTTCTATAAAGTTATTTCTAAGATTTTGGCTTCAAGGCTAAGACTTTGTCTCAATGACTGCATTTCTGAGAACCAAGCTGCCTTTCTTCCTGGAAGGCAAATTCTGGATAATGTTGTGATTGGGCATGAAGTCTTCCACTTTTTGAATAGGCACAGATCAGGGAATAATTATTTCATGACTTTGAAGCTTGACATGATGAAGGCTTTTGATAGCCTTGAGTGGAAGCCTGTTCAATTGACTATGTTAAGAATGGGATTCAGTGCTAAGTTTGTTAAGTGGATTATGGCATGTATTCAATTTCCTTCTTTCTCTATTAATTTGAATGGAAGGCCTTGTGGTTATATTACTGCCAATAGAGGTATTAGGCAGGGGGATCCTCTATCCCCCTACCTTTTTATTATTATCTCAGAGTTGTTATCTGCCAAAATTCACTGTGCTGCAGAAATTGGGAGCTACAAAGGGGTTAGATCGGTCAGAAATGGCCCGAAACTGACCCACTTACTGTTTGCAGGCGACACTCTACTTTTTTGTAAAGCAGATGAACAACAGGCCATCATGATTCTGAATATTCTTCAAGCTTACCATAATTTTACGGGGCAACAGGTGAACATGGCTAAATCATCAGTTTTCTTTAGCAAGAATACTCCAGCCAGCATTGAAGACAAGTGTTGCTCTATCCTATCTGGCATTCAAATTCACTCCTCTACAAGATATTTGGGTCTTCCAATGGGCATTGGGAGATCAAAGAGAGAAGCTTTTGATTATATCCTCTTTGAAGAAAAGAATCTGCAGCTGGAAGAATAAATGGTTATCTACAGCAGGTAAGAAAATCCTCATCAAAGTTGTTCTCAATGCACTTCATGTTTATGCTATGTCCTGCTTTGTTCTTCCTATCACCTTGTGTAAGGAAATCTCCAGTATTTGTAGCAAATTTTGGTGGAGTAAAGATACTGATCTCTCTAAAGGGTTCCCTTGGGTGGCTTGGAACAAGTTAACATTGGCAAAAAAAGTTTGGAGGACTTAGATTCCAGGACATCCAACTTTTCAACACTGCACTAATTGCCAAAAAGATTTGGAGGCTACTCATTGTGCCTGACTCCTTGGTGAGCAGAGTCCTCAAATCTAAATATTATCCCAACTCTTCACTGTTTGATGCATCCATTCAGTCAAGTTCATCTTGGCTCTGGAGAAGCTGGCATGCAGTTTTGAAAATATGTGCTAAGTGGATGCAGGTGGAAATCAGAAAGGGCAACTCTACAAAAATCTGGGATCAGCATTGGTTGCCAAACCTCACAGGCCAAACAGTGGAGCTACTGCCAGGTATAGACAGAGGCTGTGTATGGGTAAGAGACCTCATGACTGAAGATGGTTGGAACTGGGATGAAAGGAAGTTGAGAAGAACTTTTCCTCCACACATCTGTGACTTGATTCTCACCATCAATTCTCTTAATCCCCACCAAGAAGACACTTGGAAATGGAAGCTACACAGCAAGGGTTTATTCTCAGTTCAGTCCACCTATGCTCAACTCATTGCTGAGAAGTACCTTAAAATGGGGCAGCCACAGGGAAGTAAAGACTTGGACAGAGATATCAAAGTCAGGAGCAAAAGTTGGAAACTCCAAGTCATGGGCAAGATTAGGCACTTTATCTGGAAGTGTTGTAATGGCACTTTGCCTGTTAGTCATAACCTGAAGGCTAGAGGGATAGATGTAGAAGGTGTTTGCTCAATCTGTGAAGATGGCCTAGAAACTGTGGAGCACCTTTTATTCCATTGTGATCATGCAAAGTTGGTTTGGAAGCTCTCACCTGTGCAATGGGATGGGCCCCGAGAGGGAGAATCTTTTAAAGACTGGTGGTGGTATGTATGCCAGCTAGACAAATCAGAGATATCGGAGGCAAGGATACAGTTATCGACATATATCCTCTGGTGGCTCTAGAAAACTCGTAACTTGTGATGTTTGAAAAAGTGAAAAGGCCTACTCACCTCATAGTCCAAGAAGCTCACCAGGATTGGTTATCTTTCAGGGCTAGTAGAGGGATCAGGTCTTAGACTTGGGAGCTTGGTTGTAGTTGTGCATGTTGTAGTGTTTTTTCTTCCCCTGTTTAGTGTTCTTTCTTGTGTGTTGGTTTGAGGTTAGGCCCCAATCGAGAGACTGCCTAGCTTCAAGGTTGGTTAGTTGGGTTCTAGGACACCATTTAAGTGATCCTCTCATTTCCCGACTCTGTGTTTTTGTTGTTGTTGTGTCTTGTTTTTTTTGGTTGTCTGTTCTCGATTTCAAGACATTGTATTTTTTCTTATTTATGAGATGTCTATCGTTTGAAAAAAAAAGGAATAAAAAATAATAAAAAATAATATAATCAATGTAGAGTAAAATGTAGAGATAAATGCTGGAAATGAATGTTCAATTCTACTCTAGAGTAAAGTAAAGTTGCGCTAGAGTAGAAATAAGGGATGGAGATGACTTAAGACCTCTTGCGGCACAATTGGATTTATCGTCAGAGTAGTGTCCAAATTTATTTCAATGTTGCCTTGGATTTCGGCGTTACTCCAAAGTTGTGAACAGTGCATCGCTTGATGTATCGACACAGTGTAGATAACTCTACAATTTTTTTTTTTTTTTTTGTTATTTTATGTATTGTTATTGGTAATTTCTGGATAATGTATATTAGTAAATATATTTTTTATGCTAAATAATTTGTGTAATTTATTCTTTATGCTAAATAAATTTTGTTCTTTTTATTTATTGATGTATTATAATTTTATTTTATAATTTTTTAATATTAAAATAATACCATACGAATCAAAAAATTTAACACATTCAAACAAGTTTATTTCATTAAAATTAAAAGTTTATACATATATACCAATTTATTTGAAATAAAAAATGTATAAAAAAATATATATTTGATGTAGAATAAAATGTAGAGTTAATGATTGGAGATGAATGTTCAATTCTATTCTAGAGTAAAGTAAACTCCGCGCGTTGTGGTAGAGAGAATGGTTGGAGATGGTCTTAAATGTCATTCTAGCATTTTTAACTATTTGTCAAATAAATGTTGTTTTTTATATTTTGTACATATTTTTTAATTATTATTCTCATTTACCCAATAAATACATTACATCTTTTCATATTCACTCTTCACTTTTTTTCAAAATATTCATCTCTATTTTTATTAAATAAGATTATTATTAAAAAAATAATTTTAATTAATGTGCAATTTTTCAAAACCACACTAAAATAGGATGTAGTACATAGTAACCTAACAAACAAAGTGTGTTGGTGAGTGTGTAAATCTACTTCCCTAGCTACAACTTGATCACCGTGTACCCTACACCAATTTGAGCTTTATGAAAAAACATATTGATGGGATGGGACAGAAAAAAGCACATGCGATGTGATGCACCAATTAAAAGAAAGCAGTCCTAATTTTCCGTCAAGCTAGCTGGCACTCAACAGTAATTTGATTTGAGGCACCCACCGCCACCAATAATTGTACTTGGACACCCACCCACCATAGGCGTATAATAATAATATTTGTAATTTGTAGTGGAGTTAAATTATTTTATTAATTAATGGTGTGAAACGATGGAAAAATAAAAACGTACTTACTCGTAATGTGAAGGAGAAATAGCTTGGAAGAAAAGCGTGGTTTTAGTAACGTCAAGATTAGCGTCGACCCATTTGGCCCAAGTGGTGAGGGCTTTTTCCATAGCCAGCAGTGGGTCCATATCTTGGTATAGTCTCCCGTCGGACTCCACATAATCCCAGCCCTGTAGAGATCCTTTGTGAGTCCACCAATGCCCTGTGTTGAAGTAAAGAAGATCAACTCCAAATCCAGTCCAGGCATTGGAATTCCCCCTTATGTCCCCCAACCTCAGCACTCTCTTACCCTCCATCATGTCGATATCAACGAGGTACGGCGCCTTGTAAAACGACACCGTTAACCCATACTCCAAGAATTTGACGCTGGAGATTGTGTCTCCCCTGTTGATGCTCATGCTCATCTGTGTGTCTGATGATATCATACAAATCAGTGACTCCCATTGGTTCCTACCAATTGAGTCCCCGACAAACATTATGCTCTTCCCTCGCATCCTCTTCACAAACTCTGCACCATCGAACCTGCCAATTGCAATAACAAACCTTATTAAATAAGTAAAACTAACACACACATCTATCACAAGACAAGATTAAGATTATATACATACCGGGGGATTTGGCAATTGGAGGGCTGCCACCGGTACTTGAGGTAATCGGTGTCGGGTCTTCCGTACATTTGGCAGTTGAATTGGGGGTCGATTACGGGACAAGACGAGAAGTCGTAGAGGGGAGTAGTGCTTTGGTCGGGAACCCATGACCCCACGAACAAACAGCTCTCGTTGCCTCTCACTATTGGTCTGCTGTGGTACCCATTGTCAATGTTGTGCTTCTGCTGCTGCTGATGCTTCCTCAGACCAACCAACACCACTGATGAAACTTTAATAATATTCGCCAATACAAGGACATTTATTATGGTTATGGATGATACACCTAATAACTTATATCTACAGGGACTACGAACAGCCATGGAGGGAGAGAGGGAGAGAGGGAATTATACTAATCTATCTATATTTATCAATGGACTTTGTTGTGGGTAAATATGTAAAAGTAGAGAAAAAAAGGAACAATAGGAAGAAAGTGAGTCATGTTTTGTTTTGTTTTGTTTTTGTTTTGTTTTTTT